AAAAAAAAAAAAAAAGTGACCCATCCAAGCCTGAACCGCTCTGCTTCCATGGCAGTATGGGGACCCAGGTGGGGACCCGTGTCCATCTGCGTGTCTGCCCTGAGCTGCTGGGACTCCCAGCCCTGTTCTGCGTCCTTTGTCTACCAACTCCTGTGTTGTCTTCCAGGAGGCCAGAGAGAGCTGTTATTTCTCAAAGTACTGTCAGGTGCAACTGGGGTGAAGCCGCCCCGAGAAAAAGAGCTCTCCCCCACTCGGCATTTTCTTTTCTACAAGACGGCAGCCCCAGGCAGGCAGGACTCTGTGAGGCCCACCCACCATGGATGCGCCATGTCATACTCAGGTTTGCAACAGAGCGGGGGCCAAATCGGTACTGCTCATGTGAATCAATGAATGAAGGGAGGTGTATCAACCCTGTTTCTTTCTCCTGCTCTGTCCCCCCCCCACACACACACACTGTGGGTCCAGTCACCGTTGCCTCTCCCTGTGGGTCGGCCACATCCATGTAGATGCTCCCGGCCCAGCATCCCTCAGGATTCAGTGCTGTCGGGCTGAGGGCCACACTCTGTGGACAAGAACCCAGACCCCACTTCCTCTGCTGAGGGTCCTCAAAGGATTCTGGCACCATAGCATTTCCCAACTGCCAGCCAGCCCCCCTCAGTAATGCGGCTTCACCTCATACGGAGCTGAAAGCATGCCAATAACAAAGCTTAGGTTTACTGCAGGCACAAGGACCTTACCTAATCCTTACCACAACCCGTGGGGCAGGTAGTATTACTGTCCTGTCCTTTTGCATTTGGGGAAAGAGATGCTCGGAGAGGCTGACTGGTCAAGGCTCTGGGACTGAACCCCCAAGACCTGACTTTAGGGTGGGCATGCTCACCTCGGCCTCAGCTTGGCGGAGGAGCACTCGCATTCTGCAGGCTGGGGTAGTTAGCTGACTTAGCCTCTCCGAAGCTCAGTCTGCTCATCTGCGAAAGGGGCATAACAAGAGCCCATGGCACTGGCCTGGCGAATGCTCTGCCTCCCAGGCTTGCTGGAGGATGAAATGAAACGGCACCCTCCCAGTCCCTCATCCACAACTCCAAAATCCAAAAAGCCCCGAAGACTGGAAGCTAGCTCCCTGGGCAGCAGAACCCGACCTGGCTCCGCCTCGTTTGGTGGCAAATCCTGACCTTGCCTGACCATGAGGCTGTTCACAGAGTGCTTTTAAATCCCACAGAGTGTAACTGTTCAAAACTGTTTTGTGCTGGAAGAGTGAGTGCTGCCCTGGGGGTGGCCTCTAGCATATATGCGTCCTCTGACTTCTCTGATATCATCAGAACAGCTCTGACTTGTGAAACACAACCTCCAGGGGTTTGGGAAAAGGGGTTGTGTTTATATATCCTTCACAGGAGGCTGGCATACAGCAGATGCTCAATAAATGACAGTTCTCTCTTGTTTTAGGATTAGACAGCTCCTTAACCTCTTTCTTGCCAGCCCACTCTGCTCTTCCATATTGGAAACAAGGCTTCCGGTGCATTTCAATGGCTGCAAACAGGTATGAGTACGAGTCCTGGTAATAACATCCGTGTGCTCAGTCCTGACCGCAGACAGGGCTCTGAGCCCTTCCTGTGTCCTGCCTCAGACCTTGTAGCTGGGTGGTTAAGCCCCTGCCCTCCCACCACGGCACTTCCTCTGTTCAAATCCCAGCTCTGCCACTTCCTAGCCAGGCCTGCTGTTTGAATGAAGTTATGGCTCCAACTTAAAGAGTCCTCGCAGGATAGAGAGCAGTGTCCGGCACACATTCAGAATTAGCAGAATTATTATGATTCATCTCCACTCCGCAGTATGTACCATAACTGGAATGGAGAGATGAAGTCACTTGGTAGTTTGGCACCATGCTCTACTGCCGCTCAGAAGCTGGGACACAGGGAAGTGTGGGAGGGAAGGACAAGGGAGGAAGAAGGGCAGGGCCTGCCTGACCAGTCAGGTAGTCCGGTTACAAATGCCATAAGGTAATATCCAGTCTCCCTCAAGCTCCACGCGTTATTCAAAATGTACTGGAGTTGACATTATACCGAAGATGCTGATGGGGCTCAGAACAGGTCGCCCTAAAATATGCCACTTTGGCATGTTGATTATTTAGAATTAAAGTTACTTAAGAAGCAGCTGGTACATGAAGGACACTCTGACCCTCCTGTGTCCCCCTGAAAGCAGGAAATAATCTCTCATGTGAAAGTTACCCTCCCTGTACCAGGAGAAAGAAAGACATCCTTATCGCCAGAGACGGGAATTCTGGGCTGAGAAAGCCATATAAACAAAGCTTGGTACTTCCTCCCCAGTTTCTACCCCAAGCCCGAACCCCTTTGTCCTGTCAGTCCTTCACAAATTTTATTGTTTCCTTGTCCACAAGGTATAAAACCTACCTGCTTGGGTCACTTCCCTGGGTCTGATATCTTTGGGGCCCTGTACATATGAAATTCAATTAAATTGTTTTTCTCCTGTTAATCTCTCTTTGAATACAGGGAGTGTCTCAGCCAAGAACCTAGAAGGGTAGAAGTAAATTTATTTTTCCTCCCCCACAGTGCATTTCTTCTAAGAAATGAACAGGGAAACATGGGGGCAGGGACGACGGGCGTACAAAGAGTTTGGACAAACAGGTTCCAGCCTGGCGGACCTAAAGAGGGCAACTCACTGGCCGTGGCTGAGCCTTGCAGGAGCAGGGACAACACAGGCCTTTCATTAGCGAGAAGGCTGGGTTACAGTCTCACTTGGACTGTGGCAGAAACTTGGCTCAGGCTGGATCTCTTCAGGAGAAACAAAAGGAGGGAAGGCAGCAGCCTGCTGGGCATTTGTCCTTTGCCCCCCAACCATACCCCCTGGGCAGACAGAGGCCCTGAACATCAGCTCATTCTAGATGAGGCCTCTCAGGAGAGAAACCAGCCCTGTTCCCAGAGTTAGGCTCAATGAAAAACTGAAATGCTCCTTACAATTCCCTGCAAAGATCTGAAATCCCAGCCCTTGGGGGTGCAGTGGGAGGAGGTGTTTTCCCAGTAGCTGGCAGGCAGCTGGAAGCTTTGCAGAAAAACAAGGATTAAAGAAGCAATTAGAGGTTTGACAGCCAATAATCAGAGGAAGAAAGCAAGAAGAAACCAGCAACAGGTCAGCAGGAAGCCTCAGGCCCTTCAAAATTCAAACAGTTGCAAAAAACCCAAACAAGCCTCTCCTCCCTCACCTACCAAGTCTGGGAGTGATGGCTTAAATGGGGTACCATCTAAATGGGTCTGCTTGTATAACCATCTGTCTGCACCCTTCCTCACCCCTAAACTTGATATGTTGTACATATATTTATACATGTAGTCTGCTTTGCTTTTTTCCTTGCCAGTCAACTTTCTTGAGACATAATTTACATACAATAAAATGCACCTATTTTACTGAATTTTGACAAATACCTATACCCTGATCAGGATAGAGAACGTTTTCATCACTCTAAGAAGTTCTTCTGGCCTCTTTGCAGTCAATCCCCGTCCCATTCCTAGCCTCAGCCCCAGGCATCACCTGATGTGCTCGCTGTCACACTAATGTACAGTTTTGCCTTTTCTAGATTTTCATATAAATGGAATTATGTATTCCTTTATGTCTGGCTTCTTTGTGATTGTTGCCGTTGTTCAGATGCTGTGGTAAATAGAATTTTTAAAAAATTTCATGTTGAAAAAAATAATAAAAAAATAAAAAATAAAAGTTTCAATATGAAACCGTTTGCAGCTAGCAAAAGTTCTTTCTTTCTTGTATATGGACCTTGTCCCTTACGATCTTACTAAATTCACTAACTAGTTCTAGTACTTGTTACGTAGATTCCTTAGGATTGCCTAGTAAACTATGACATCGTCTATAACTAAAGATAGGTTTCCTTCTTCCTTTCTGATCTTTATATCTTGTATTTATTTTTCTTGCCTTATTGCACTGACTGGGACCTCTAGTACCACACTGAATAAGTGGTAAGAGCAGACATCTTTTCTTGCTGCTGATCTTAGGGAGGTAGGCAAACAATCTTTTACCACCAAGTATGATGTTAGGGATAGCTTTATTATAGACACCCTTTATCAGGTAGAGGAATTCCTTCTTAATCCTGGTTTGCTGAGTTTTTTTTCAGGAATGGGTATTCAGCTTTCTCAAATGTTTTTCTGCATCTGTTGACCTGATCATCTGGTTTTTCTTTTTTTATTCTGTTCGTATGCTGAATTATATTGATTGACTTTCAAATGTTAAACCAATCTCATTCCTGGGACGTATCTTGTTTGGTCATGATGTATAATCCTTTATATATGTCGCTGGATTTGAGTGCTACTGTTTCAATAAGGATTTTTATCCATTTTAATCCCTGATGTACCCCCAGAGCCTAGAAAACAACCTTAAACAGAACAAATGCTCAATAAATATGTGTTGAATAAATGAATTAATCAATCAAACATCTTCCTCCATGTGGGAGTCAAAGGATGTGCCCATTTCAACATTTTGGCAAAATGTCCAGACTTCCCTCTGAAGATGTTGTCCCAGTCTTCACTCCCACCAACACATATGCCAGGGAATGAATGCTGGTGCTGCTCCCTGGCTTTACAGAGAAGCTAATTGTTGAGGTGGTTTCAGAGGAGGTCCAACAGAGGAAGGGGGCATCCTAGGCAACAGCATGTTCCAAAGCACAGAGGCATGAAAGATCATTGCATCAGCGGCTAACTAGCTGTGTGACCTTGGGCAAATTTGTCCTGCTT